AACACTGCCAAAGCCCAAATGAGTCTTTCCATGTATGCTACTTGATCCAAGCCTTTTATTTGGAAGTCTCTAAGCCTCAAAATATGCATAGCAACTCAATCTTCAGCCTAAATCTCATTAGTGACGTTTCAGCTTTTATATTTGGGCTTGATTGTCCAATGGTCATTTGCTTTGTCAAAGTGTCTTGAGCAAATCCACACAAACCTTTTTTAATTGTTCTAGCTCTTGCTCTTGTTATTAGACCACTTGGAATCTAAAGGGGGCCTCTTGAGGCATCAAAAAATAGCTAGCTCTTTTGAAGTGTTGCAAACAACATGCTGTTTGATTTCATTTTTAGAAATGGCTTGCTGGATCACATCATTCCATCTCTTCTCAAAAGGATTCATCCTCAAATCTTCACCTGCATCAAAAGAAGATAAACTAGATACATTAAAAGCAGCAGTAACATTATACTCAGTAGGCAAGTCAATCTTGTAATCATTGGCATTGATTCTTTCAAGCACTTGAAATGGTCCATCCCCCCTTAGAGCTAACTTTGATTTTCTTTAAGCTAAAAATCTTTCTTTTCTCATATGCAACCATGCCCAATCTCCAAGTTCAAAAATAACACTCCTTCTTTTATTAGCCTTGGATGCATATTGCTCATTTTTCTTTTCAATTTTCTATTTGACATGCTCATGAAGTTGCCTAACTATCTCAGATTTCTTTTGTTTTTTTTTTTCCTTCTAAGTTTACTCTCTCATCAATAGGCAATGGTAATAAATCCAAAGGTGTTAGAGGATTAAAACCATATGCTATTTTAAAATGAGAATAATTAGTAGATGAATGCTCACTCCTATTATATGTAAATTCAATGAATGGCAAACAATCTTCCCAATTTTTCAAGTTCTTTTGAATCATAGTCCCAAGCAATTGAGATAAGTTTTGTTAACCACCATAGTTTATCCATTAGTTTGTGGATGACATGCAATAGAAGACAACAACTTTACACCAAACCTCACCCACAAAACTCTCCAAAAATGACTCAAATTTTTTGTATCCCTAACAAAACAAAATTCTTTTAGAAACACCATGAAGCCTCAATATTTCATTGAAGAACAAATCAGGAATATATGGGGCATCATCAATTTTATGGCAAAGAATGAAATGTGCATTTTTACAAAATCTATCAACAACCATAAATATTGAATCCATTTGATAAGTGAAATTTATTACATCATTTTATTCCTCTAATCCTTGAGCTTCAGCATCATGTTGGGGTTGTTTAGAGCATAATTATGGCCTTAGAGGCAATTAGACAATTTCTGCAATTTTTCTTTTTTGGGAAGAATTGTAATTTTTGAAAGTTTTGGGCCAATTCTGTAAATTTTGAAAATCATGAATTTGAAAAAAAAAAACCAAAATCTAATAATTTGATCTAAATTAGTTCTTCTCTAATCTCATTAGTTTAATTTGTGTTCATCCTTTTTAGTTTGTGAATAATTCACCATTTCATTTATTATTTAGTACCTTAATTTTACTTTCAAAGTGTACTAGGTTAGGTTTTCTTAATCCAAAAATTAAGATAAACTAATCACAACTCCTTTCCACTAATCATCTTCCATATTTCCACTTCAAATCATTTTTTCTATTTTTTCTCATAATTTTTTACCTTAGATAGATGAATTTAAATTAGTGCATTAATTTTATTCTGCACTTATGCTAATGGGACATTTGGCTATGTAGGGTAAGGGGATCTAAAATTGACTTGTTGACTATAAGAGGATGATATCTCAACCCTTTATCAAGATCATGGTTTATTTGATGGTGGATGAACAAAGTGAAATTCAAGATCATGAGGGCCAAAGAAGACAGAATTTTATTTAATTCATGCATTTTCTTTTTAGGTTAGATTTGTAGCACTTAATCCAATGGTGTAAGCTTCTATCTTGTTCTCCTCTCATCCATCTTGACCCTCAATTTCTTTCCAAGAAAATCTATAAATAGAAGGCCAGGGGGAGCCTCAAAGAGAGCCACCATCTCCCAAAATACCACTCTTATTCTTCTCTTTTCTTCCATTGTCCAGATCTGGACAAATCCTACTTTCTTCATCTTTTGTTCATTTTCTTTTCATTTTCCCAAATCTGGATTTCACTGTTCACGCATTGTTAACTATTTTCCAGATTTTGGAGTTTTATTTTCACTCACCTTCACCCATTTTAATTCATTCACACTAATATCTAATCTCTCATGACTGAAATGATCAATTTAGTTTATAAGATTTTAGAGGTAATTTCCATGGAGAGCTAAGTTTTTTAAGCCTTTTCGGGTGTGGTAAAGCTCTTGAGGCCATTGGATTATTTGGACTATTTTTACTTTTCTCTTTAATTGAGTTTATTTAGTAGCTTTTTTCTATTTAAATCTTGTAATGTTTCCAAATTTGGGATTCTAAATTTATGTAACATTTTCAATTAATGAAGTTTAATTATTCCTTGAGTTATTGCATTGTCCATTGATGTTATTTTATTGCTCTTTTGATTCCCTTGAGCATTTAAATTTCATCCTCTTAATTCACACAAGTGAGGCATTATTATGCATTTTGTGTGAATTCAAGAGTGATGTATGTTCTCAATTGGACTAGATTTAGTCATGGTTGAGCAAGGGTCTAACTTAAGGAAGTAATTAGACTTATTAGGTGAAACTTAAGAACACTTGATTTTCTGGGATTCAAGTGAATTTTAAGTGTGAGTTTGGGGATTCCTTAGTAAATTTCAAACCTAATTGAAAAGTGAAGGCTAGTCTTTATTTTAGTGCCAATGATAGAGCATCCACACCTTTAAGGTGCTGTCATCATTACTTGCATTTTCACATCTTATTTCTTGTTATTTTCAATTTTAGTCTATTTATTTCCTTTAAAATTCTAGCCTTTTAAATTCAATTCTTTATTTTTAGTCAATTCAACCTCACAATATGCTTGTTTCTTTTAAGTGAAGTCTTTTTCTTATACCTTAGGACTTTAAGACCTCCTCGAGAGACCAACCTATGTTGGCTATACTTCATTAATAGTTTAACTTGGAATTAAATTTGAGGCCAAGGTGACTAGGCTAAGCCATCATTCCTCTTTTTGATCTAGGCAAACCCAAAACAAAATCCATGAATATACCAACCCAAGGTTCACTTGGAATTGGTAATGGAGTATACAATCCACGTAGCAAGAATCTAGATTTAGCCTTTTTGCATGTTATGCATTTAGCATAGATTCTTTCCACATCACGTTTCATTTTAGGCCAAAAGAAATGTTAGTGCAAAATATCCAAAGTGTTTTCCACACCAAAACGTCCTATTAGTCCTCTCCCATGTGCTTCTCTTACAAGTAATTCATGCAAAGAACATTGAGGAAGCACACAATCTATTTTCTTTGAAAGAGTATCCATCAACTCTATAAAACTTTTCAAATTCTTTAGTTTCACAAGTGATAAGTCACATTTATTATACACTCTTTCTTATTATTATTGATTAAAAATCATGTTATATTTGCCCAAATTATACACTTATTGTATTGATTGTGAAAAAATCATCTAAGTGTAAGATTATATGCATTATGGGCATTTTGATCATAAAAATAGAATTTTGAGAAAATGTTTGAGAACATTTTTCAAGAATAATTTTTAGTCCAAAGAAACAATGGTCTAATTAGATTTCTTAAACTCATTTTAGATTGAGAGTAATTAATTTCACAAGTTAATAATTTTAAAAAGTCAAAGTTTTGGGTTGACTTGTTTTTCTTGCACTTGGGTTAAGCCATTTTTGTGCATGTATAGGGTTACAATTTTTAGGCTACTTGGCACACCCCAAAGCTTTTTTTATAATTTTATAATTAGTTCTTATTATTTAATTACATTATGCCATATATTTAGAAATTAATTTTAATGGAAAATACAAATTATTATCTATATGCTTTGAATTTTGATTTTGTGCGTCACATTTGTTTGTATAGGGTTACACACCTTGGATTTGTTTTAGATTAGTGGATGTACATAAAAGAGGTGGAGAGTGGGGAGGAAAAGGAGGTTGTAGGATAATCTTAGAGGATAGGGCCTGGGCTCTTGAAAACTAGGTATGTTTGAGAGTTCTCCTCAGTGAGTTTGCTACTGTTGAGAGTAGGAGGTAGCTATCTCAGTGTGTGAACTGATTAGTGATTGCATTCTCTACACTCTCGCTTGGTAATAGAGGCTGCTCTACAATTTCTCTTCATTTTACTGTTTCATTCTGCTGGTTCTTCTTCTTGTTTTTTTTTTTTTTTTGGGTAATCAAAGCAGACTCAACCTAAATGTCAAGTGAATTATTACATTCCAAGGCAATAAGAGAAGCTACAAACGTCGGAGGCGAAACAAATCTATGAAGCCTAGGTTAGTGACTTCATTCTTCTGGTTCTATTATAAGGAAAAAAAAACCAGTTTTGTTCATATCATAACCATGCTTTATTTCGTAAAAGTTTATTACAACTGCACAATCACTTTAGTATACTAACAGGAATCAAACTGCATAACCCACTCTTTATGACAACTGCTTAACCACTTTAATATACAAATTGAAGTGGAAAACTTATTTGTTGAAAAGTATCAAACTGCAAGTGTTTATTTCAACTATTTACCAGACTCTACTAATAGATAACCCACCATCGTCTACCGACACGTATGCATTCCTGTAATTATGGTCATCATGATTCATCATACTTAAATGTTCTTGATACAGGACAACAAGTTCTCACAATTGGAGGTAATGGTGGGAGTCTTGTAAGAAGATTTCAATAATCCAGCGTCAAGTTCTCACAATTGGACGTGATGGTGGGAGTCTTCCAATAATCTGGCTTCAACAAGTTCTCACAGTTGGAGATGAAAGTGGGAGTCTTCCAGTAATCTGGCCCCAACATTGGAGGTGATAGAAGAGTTTTCCAGTAATCCAGATCCAACAAGTTCTCACAATTGGAGTGATGGAGGGAGCTCCGCCGTACTCTGGCTTCAACAAGTTCTCACAATTGGTGGCGATGGTGGGAGTCTTCCAATACTCTGGCTCATCATATCCAAGCTCATACTCCATGAAGAATTTGTGCTCTGGCTTTCTAACCCACTTTCTGATCCAAAGCCTTCCTGATCTTCATCTTCTGATTCATCAGAGTTTGATGAGCTATAAGATGACTCTGACCTTGTTGGGGAATAGTCTCTTGGTATGATGCAGGTGTTGCCTTCCAATATACGACTTAAAGCATTCACCACCTATTACAACATCATAAGGACAAATAATTAAAATCAATATTTGGTCTTGTTATATATAAATTGCGATATTAAGAACTAGGAAACATGTTAAGGTCAATGGATGCTGACTCACCGCAAACATATTGAGTCTTTTCTGAGGATCCCTAGTCAGACATTTTTCTGCTATTCGAACCATCCAAAATAGTTGATGGAAATCATGGGAATTGACTATCCTTTCATCAATTAGATCATGATATTTCCTGTCTTTTAGTAGTGGTCTCGCCTGCAAGAAAAATGATTGAGTTGCAGGGGGAAAAGGGAACTCGAGATAAAATGAGAAATTGTAAGCTGAAATCCTGGTCTTTCTATTCTTGTTTCACTGCTCCGAGTGAACCAGCTAATTACCCTGTTTGGCATGCCATGTAAGATGCATAAATCTGAATTTCAATAAGCAACGATCCTTTAAGATTATACTAAAATCTTGCCTTTACGTAGAAAACCAATAAAATCATAAGGTACATGAATTAGATTTCATGATAATTAGATTGTTACCCATCCTACAAGACTTTTCCCTTTAAGCCTTTTGTCTGTTGTCCTCATTCCTGTGATGAGTTCTAGCAGAACCACCCCAAAAGAATAAACATCTACCTTGGCTGACACTTTCCCATATTCTGCATATTCAGGTGCCAAATACCCCAAAGTTCCGATCACCTCTGTTGACTGTATGGAATCTCCATGTTGATTTCTTGCCAGACCAAAGTCTCCCAGCTAAACATTTCATTAGAGAGAAAAAAAAACAAGTATTTTGTGATCAAATGCCTGAGTTATTTAGTTATTTCATTCTCTTCTATAATTAAATATAATGTTTAGTGAATGCTGATAGGTTGGGTTATTTTTATTATTATTATGTAAATGAGCTTATACAGTTCTCAAACTCCACAATGTGATTTTGTTATTTCATTGTCTTTAGTAATAAATGTCTAATGCAATGGTGATGATAATGTATTATATCTCATTCATGTCTTTATTGTGCAACAAATATAACCCTATTGGTTTGGATTAACATTACTAAACATTCCTGGAAGCATCATCGTTGATTTGAATTGGTATATCTTGGTTGATCATTTAGCACCGTGTATTATCAACATACAATGCGTTCTTACTAGATTATTTTAGTGGGTGAGTGAATCTCGGTTAATAAATTCAAAAGTTAAATGTATGCTTGATTACCAGGGCTTGACGATCATGTGTTATAAGAATATTGTTTGGTCTCACATCTCTGTGTATAATGTTATTCTCATGCAAGTATTGCAAGCCCTTTGAAACTCCAATGGCAACTTTGATCCTCTCTTCCCAAGTAAGAGGAATTCGGGAGTGTTCTGCAAGAAATTAGCAGAATATTTCTTCAATAAGACACACCAAGAAAATGTACATATTTCTGTAATGTTGGATTAAACTTACGTGATAAATGTTGATCCAGTGAACCGTTGCAGATGTATTCATAAACAAGAAGCCTATGCTTTCCTTCTGAGCAGAACCCCAGAAGCGTGACCACATTCTCATTCCTTGCTCTGCCAAGTAATTTGACTTCAGATTTGAATTCTTTCTCTCCTTGGACACTTGCATTTTTAAGTTTCTTAACGGCAACGGTTATTCCGTTGAGCTCTGCTTTGTAGACAGATCCAAATCCACCCTCTGATAGAAAGTTCTTTTGGGAGAATCCCTGTGTAGCTTTCCAGAGTTCTGTGTAACTCAAGTCTTTTATCCATCCAACTTTCGGTCGTTTGTTTTTACACACAGAGCAAAGTGGGTTTGTAAATTCTGTCTCTATCCGAGACTCTTCACTGTTATCACGCCTTCGCTGCTCATGGTGGTCAGAGATGGAAATTGTCTTTGCTGTTTCCTGTTCTATACCTTGATCTTTGTCTTTAATTTCCTGAAGAATGCTTGAACTTGATGTTCCAGTTGATATGAACTGTTCACTTGGTGATGTTCTATGCCCTGCTTGATGTAAAAACAGTTATTTTCAATATAAGATTAAAACTATTGATTGTCATCAAGTAGCAGCATGGCTTGTAAATTCAGATAAAGCGTATTGTGAGATTTGTATTAGGTGTCCTTAAATAAGCTGTTGCTGTTGTACAAAGCCGAAGCAGCCTGAGTTGTAATTCAAAGAGAAACTATTTCAAAACAGTAAATTTTACAGCAGGGTAATACTCACTCTTGGGCGAAATTTCTTCATCCGGGTTTCCAGGAATGATTTTCATAGCTTGACTTGAGGAATGCGATTTGGAGTAGTCTGTTACATCCGGATCCCACAACTTATCAATGGTGTTGTCACTTCTTATTCTAAGCATACCACAAGGCAACCGATCCAATTTCTTCCTATCCTTGTTCACATCCCTGCATCATTTTGCACCAAGCTAAGTCTCCGTAAAACATAATCTTAAATTAGGTCACCATATGGACGTAGTAGTTTTCCATCTGACAATTTTGTTGGATCATGATCATGGCTTTAAATACACTGCAACACCTTTTACTTATGCTCTCTTCAGTTTGATTTCTTAGATTAAACAAGATGAAAGCAAATATACAAGTTATAAGATAGAGACCACTTTATATATAAAATATATAAAAAAATTATGCAAGTTGTATCTTATTGACTTGCTAGAATTAGGGCATACCTCATGTCTCACAGTGTTTGTAAATATACTTATAGAATAACTACTACAAAGACTCAAGTCTATAGTGAGATTGAACCCATGCATTGAATCAATTTTTGTTGGCTTGCATGCATGCAATATTGATAATCATTACTCAGTCTTATTTTTTTTGTAAGGACATGATAATCATTTCTGATCCATATTCCCTCTCCCTTTCAACACCTAACATTAATTCTACGTGCCAATTAATATATATCAAGCGTTAATAATTTCTACTATGGTTGGAATATGACAATATAATTAATGTTTTCTTAATTATTTTTTCTACTCGCTTGCCTCTATATGCAAGTTTCAAAAGATAGAAACTAGTTTATCAAAATTCTTAAAAACAAACAAAGAACAAAATCCCATAAATATATTTTTACTTTTCATTCATGCAAAGACTTGTCTAGCGAATAAGTAGAAGTTTTTTTCCTAGGGTCTATAAGCAACATGTAGAGTGAGCGAGGCAATAGTTTATAGGGAGTTACGAACAAACCTATCCACGATCAACCATGTTGCCTCTAAACTTATGACAGCACCAGTAGCAACTTCTATGAAAGGGCTTGCAACCACATCAATGTGGAATTTCATCTGATAAATATTATAGCCAAGAAGAATTAATTTTTATTTAAGTATAATAAAGAAAAGAGCTAAAATTATACTTACAGGCTTGGCCCCAAATTGGAATCCCATTTGGATTATTGTAAAACTCTTTTGCAAGAAAAATAACCATAAATTGTTTCGTTTCTTTGTTAGAAACAATTAATGTACTTAAAAAAGACCATGCATTTTTAGGTGCTTCGAAAACTGTATCATAATCACTTCAGTATACCATGTAATTTTTATCCTTAAAAGGTTGTGCCAATAACATTTCAATGCCTGGAAAAGGTTGAAATACGAAACAAAGTGAACTAGTATTAAAGTGATGCAACAAATCAATGGATTATCATATTATTAGCGATGTAAATGTGCTTCAGTCTTCTACTGGTACTCTAATTTCTTTCTGAAATAAAACTATATACTTAATGCTGACCTTTGCTATTTCACAGTAGTCAGAGAGTTTCTCAATTTCCGAACTATTGTTATAGTCTTCCCTTTTTTTGGATAATTCCTCTTGAACAATTTTTTGGTTTGTTGCAATAAACGGACTGTCATGTACCCTGATCTTGTATCCCACTGAAGAGCAGAAGGCAAACCAGGAAGATTCAGAACATAGAAAATAAGCGATGTCAAAAAGTGAGTAATATTCAAAATTTATGCTAACTGATTTGTAGCGTAACTCTTGTTATTCACTTCTTGAATTCTCTCTTTTAATCAGATTAAAGTGAGTGTGATCAAAAAACTCACTGGAGTTGTCTCCAAGTCTTCAAGATCAGTTTGGATCCTAATTAATCGGATCTACTCATCAATATCAAACTATAATAAAATTTATAACTCAAATAAACCCATATACGGGATTCTTTTAAAGCAAGAAAACTCACAGGGACTGCTGAACTGTTCAAGAACCGCAATGAGTGTCAGCTCACCTCCAGCCTGAGGACACGTCCTTTTGAGGGCCTTCATTATGACTTTTGCTGAAACATCTTTTGATGCATCCATTATCACCACTACCCTCTGAGGTTCTCCTGCCATGTTCTCTCTGGTTTGAATTTATCAGGAGATTTTATGTGTTACCCTATGCTTTCCTGTAAGTTTAATTTCCTTCAGTTTCTGATATATTTATTGATTGACCTTGCCGTAATACAAAAGCAGAAAAGGGAATAATGAATTTATGTGCATGGAGGGACAAGAATATTCGTATATGCTCGATGATATATAAACTTGAGACTCGGACATTCTTTAATTGAATTCTTTGACTATTATATTGGTTTCCTATGTAACTTTCACAGTGAAGACTTTCTTGTGCATTGGCCGTAGAGACAAAAGTTTAACAATAATAATTCATGATTTGCGAATGTTCCTAGGTTAGGAGATCAACGTTTCTGTCGAGAGATTTGTTTAACGGTCTTTTATTCTTTCTTTGAGGAACTTTGCCTTGGAAGCTGAACAAGAGCATAATCGATCATTGGCATCTTTTCAAATCGAATTCAGACAGCTTGGGTCTCATTGTTACTACTTTTAATTTAAATACTTTTTTTAACTTATATTTTAAATACCATTTTTATATCATATACTTTGTTGAAGAGTTTGTGCTGAAGTAAAAGATAGAATACATGCATTGTAAGTTCAACAAGAAGCAAGTTAGAACTAATTTGGAGGTAAAAACTGGAGATCAAATTACACTACAAGTGTCAAAGTTCAAGTATCTTGGATTAACAATACAAAAAAGCATTAAAATAGATTGATGTAGATGTTCAGCCTAGAACACAAACTGGATGGTTAAGTTGGGGGAAAAAGTATTGGGAATTATTTGTGATTGGAAAGTACCAATTATGCTTTAAAAAGAGGTTTTATTAAAATGTACATGGATTATTTATATATTTATTTCCATACATAAGAATTTTCAAAGGTTCTTTCACGGGTACGTCAAATGTACATGTTGCACTATACTACCATATATCTCCTTTTTTTTTTTTCTTGATGTTTAGGATAAAATTATGTTATCATGCAATTTGGATTACCTTCACTATTTTTTCACCATTTGGTTTGAAAGTTGGCATCTGAAAGTTTTCAAGAGACAACTCGATGGCTATGATGAGATAACTGGTAAAAATATTTTTCTTTAAGATTCAGTATTTTTCAAGCATTGTGAATTGAATGTCATCTAATAATACTATATATATACACATATACATATATGTGTGTGTATTTATTTTAGAAAATGACAAGAGAAAAGTGAGAATTACATACAAGTCTCAAATGAAGAAGTTAATTACTTTATCAGTATAATGAGAAAGTTTGGGTCATTATGTGTGATAAACCAAGGCTTTTAAGTGTGATTTTCCCCTATCATTTGAATAAAGGAGGGAGCGATTATGTTTACTGAATAACATACACTGACCCCTCCTCATATGGTGTGTGGAGGATATATGAGGTATAAACCAGCTTCTCATTCTTCTATGAGTGCGTGTAGCATTCTGAGTATGCTCCCTCCGCTCTCTTCTCTTTGAGTGTATGTGCATTTTTTGTGAACCTGAACCAGCTTCCTGTCATAACTCCATCCCGGGTAGTGGTAACTCATCTAGTGCAACTTACATTCTAAGTATCAACTACTTGTAAATATTGAAAATTGACAAGTAAATGTTAAAGTTTGACTTGTCAATGGAACTCAAGAAGTAATTAATTTTTTTTATCTAGGACATTATTATTATTATTATTCTAAGAAAAATTCTAGAAGCTACACTATCTAAAATATGAAAAATGTAACATCTTAATTAGATAATTAATATACCTTTTTGTAAATTTAATAAATATTTAAATGTGTTGACTTAAAATGGAGTTTTGAACATTTTAAATGTGGTGGCATTTTTTTAAATTCCATCATTTGATAGCCTAGGAAACTTGAGAGTATTACCATCTTTTATCCAGATTAATCCAAACCCTCATTGTGTGGGACCGTTATTGCTAACGGCACATGGGTATTTCAGGGATGCATTTATTGTATTTATTTAAAGTGAATACATATCCCAGGACTCAAATTCGAAATCTCAAAATAAGTTGATTTAACTCCCTCGACTAATTGAACCAACTCTATGTGTTTTAACAAATATTAACATTTAACACTACAAAAAAAAAAGATTTTCAGCAACGATATAAATAATAAAAGTCGCCGATAAAAGTTTGACCTTTTGTGAGTGACTTTCTACGATGACAATATATAGTTGCTACTGATTGTCAAACTTTCAACGACAAAAAATATATGTTGCCACCAAAGGTCTAAGTTTTAGCAGCAACATAGAATTTGTTGCTGAAAGTTCACAATCAACAGTGACTTTTTAGAGTCATTGCAGAAAGTGAGACTTTCAGTGGCAACTTTGAATGTCATTGTTAAAAGTTTGACTTTGATAACAATTAATAGTAACTAGATATTATCATCATAATTTTTAATTTTTTGTTTAATCTAATATTGTACATTTTAAGACACTAATTTTGTTGTATTATTGTAATTTTATAATGAAAAAATAGAATAATGTAATGAGTTTTCATTTAATAAATTTTATAGTTAAATTGTAACTATAATTTATTTTAAGATAAGGTTAAAGTATTATTTAACGCTAATGAGCTAAATTAAAGAATTAAGCCAAATCATATTATTTTACATTAATTTTTGTTATCAAGTAATATTTGGTTTGATTCAGTTCAACTATTTAGGCTTGTTTGATTCATTGGTTTTGGTTAGTTAACACTCAATATAACTGAATTGACTAATGTATACCCTTATATAAAGTGACAAATTCATTCAAAAACCTTATGTTTGATATTTTAATCTTGGAATGCATATAATGTGGTAATGAGTCTCTATCTATTTTCAAATGTTTTATGAAAAAATTAATATTTTAAACAATAACACTGCTTATTTATAATAATGAAACATGTGATAGTTAAATTTATTCATTCATGGAATGATATTTCATCTAATCTAATTTTTTAATTCAAATTTTACATTTAATACCGATAATGTTGAAGCTTGATACCAACCTAGATGTTTTCAATTTGATAGCTAATGATAGGAAAGATAAAGATGAAAAAGAGAGAAATAAGATATTCTAAAATTCTACTTTTATCTTTTATAATATGTGAAATATATCTATGTATGTGATACTAGATGATTTTTTTGTTTGATGCTATCTTGTGACATAAATATAAAATATATATATACATATAATATAGTACATAATTTTCTTATAAAATTTTAATTTAAAAATGAAAACTAATTTAAAAAGTAAAATATAATGTAAAAATAAGACAATTATATTACTTAAGAGTTATTGTTAATTAAAAGTAAAAAATTTATTTTAAATAAAGCTAGCTAAAAAAAATAATTATGATCTAATGTATAATCATCTATATTTTTATTATTTATTCGTAGATATTTTTGTATTATAATTATAAATATGAATATGAAAATAAATAATACAATAACAAAAAGAAGTAAAAAAAAATTAAAATAAATAATATAAATGATATTGTATCAATTATATTTATAGTTTACTTTTGACAAAATAAATAATATAATTTGCAATTTTAATAAATTAAAAAAATTAAATTGAAGTATTTAATGATACTAATGATATTTTATAATATTAAATATTTAAGATATATGTGTACTTGTTTAGTTTATTAATATATATATTTAATTATGTAATAATAGATTGCAGGTTTATTCCAACTCAGTGATAAAATGGTAAGACATAAAAGAAGGAGGTCATAAGTTCAAACATTAAAGGAGGCAATTTGTGAAATAGGAATATAAAATTATGACACGATGATGTGTGTTGTGAGGTAAGGGCTACACATGGAAAGTAACATGGCATCATGTGAAGGGTGACTCGAGTGACACACAGCAGGTGACATAACGCCATATAGGAGTAAGAGGGAGATATAACACCATATGGCTAGGTAAACTAGCATTATTTTTCAATGGTAGCAAAAAGTCACTGTTAATTGTTAGTTTCTATGGCAGCCTCAACATTTAACAACGACTAAATAATTGCTATTGATGAGTGGTTTTTGTTGCTGTCAATTCTCAACTTTTAGTGGTGACAAATTTTTCTTTCTACGATAAATCTAATATTTTTAGCAGTAATTTTTATTGTCACTGTAGATACATTAAACTAGGCTTTGGTGGCATTTAAAACTTTAGATTATAGTTATTATAAAATGTTATAAGATTCAATGCTATAATAGGTATCTAGTGATATATCATTAATTAATGAAACACCATGGGATTGATGCAAGAGCAAGGGTGTTTTATTTAACAAATGCCAAGTCTTTAGGTGTTTTTTTAAAATTAGAGAGGTGGTGTTTCCAACTGACTGAAACACCACCTTTGTCCTGTAACATTCTGAATTTCTAATTCTTGCATTAATGCTAATTAAGGGGTAAATTATTAATTTAATGTGAGATTAGGATTTGGATAGTAGAGTGGTGTTTTGACTCTTTAGGATGTTGTATGAAAAGATGAAAGTGGAAGAATGGCATTGCAAAGTAGAGCATGTGAGTACGGTGAAGAGTTTCCTTACTATGCCATGCGCTGCGGCTAGTGATAGATGTGTCACAATGCATGGTGCAAAAATTTGGTGAATAAGAACATGTCTTACTTGTGGAAATAGAGAGGAATCAGATAAAGAACCATGGGAGGGGGAGGGGGAGGAAGAAGGGGGCTCTATTAGGGCATAATTTTGAGAGCAAGGATGACGTTTCTAACCTATTACTTATCAAGTAGGTCTTGCACTGCCTTAACCTTCAATTCTACTCTATTTTCTTTTAGTTTAAATTATTGAGGAACTAAATTTAAAAGTTTTAAGGTGTTGATTTCTTATGCTATAATAATAGAAAGGTTATCTAGGATTAAACTGGGACTTTATGATTGATTTAAGTTTGAACGACTTTGAAGCTGTATGCTCAATTAGTTAGATTTAGAGAGAGAAAAATAAGTGAGATTTGGGAGATGAGTGTGTTAGTGCTTGAAT